TGCTGGCGATGCACTTGTTCACGGAATAGAGCCTGAGGGTTTTGCTGGAGACCGGTGCCTTCCAGGATCCTCTGGTGTTCCAGTTGCTTTAATCTCTCTTCGCGTTCTCTGGCTTCTTCTTCACGACGTTTCTCTTCCTTAGCGCGAAGTTCAGCGAGTCGTCGTCGTTCGAGTTCCTCCTGCCTCTGCTTTTCTCTTGCTTCGCGGATTCGTTCCAATTCTCGTTGCTTCGCTATTTCCTCTAATTTTTCCAGCTCCTTCCGTTTCTTCTCGGCTTCCTTCTGCCGCAACAGTTCTTGTTCTCTCTGAAAAGCCTCCTGTTGCAATCGCGTCTTTCGCTCGAGTGCCTTTTGCTCCTCATTTAATCTGGTGAATTCTTTTATGCGCTCCTCCTTTAGGAATTGCGCCTTTTCTTCATGTTCTTTCTGAATCTGCTGCAACACCTGTCGCGCGTAAGTTTCTTGATCCGGAGAGAGCGAAGTTTGTTCGACATTTCTGTGGTTCTCTCGTTGATGATATTGTTGGCGAACGGGATATTGCTTTCTCCCGCGGCCCCTTTTTAGTTGGCCTGTTTGCGCTAAGGTTTCCGCCGGAACATACACCAGTTGAACCTAAGAGATGTCACAGTTGCTGTTAAAATGTATGTGTCTAATCTTTGGTTTATAGATTATAAAATTAAATAATTAATATTGAATTTGACGAATTACAAGCTTAGCGATTTTTTGGTATAATATTCATTAACTAATATTATTGTGTATAATTACCTAACCTAACCTAATAACATCGTAAACATTAAAATTAAAATTAATTTTTATTGCGTTATATTTGTTTCGTTGCACAATGATTATATTAAAATTATATCAATTATACAAATCAAAGTGTATGTAAGTAATTACATATACGATTTAAATCAAAATCAAGATTTTATGTACTTATTTTTTTACTAACCTCCAGAATTTGCTAAAATTAACTACTATTATTTTAATTTTATCTAACTTTTATCCAATTTTTATCTAACCATAAGATTAATTTATCGCTTTACTTAGTTTCTGCTTTGCTCTGTTATAACGTGCGCATCTTGTATATTTCATCTACGCTCTAATTCTCTTTGATCCGACGAGTGATAATATTGCAGAAATATACAAATAGGGAAATTGGTCTAAATAGAACTTGTTAAATTACGCATTTAAAAAGAGAGCGAACCATTGTTGATTTCATGCATCTTACTTTATTTTTTTACAAACCTCCTCTTCCTCATCGTTTCCGATCAAAGGAGATTGCGATAATCCTGGACTCGGTCGTTCTTTCAGACCTTTTCCGTCAGGTCTTTGACTTCCGTGTTTCGTCACATAAGTATGAGGTCCCTCTTGCGTGTCATCACCGTGTTGCAGTATAACTTGACCCTGAGCAGGCAAATTCGATAGTTCTTGATTATCGTTCAGATTCTGATGAACTTGCCCCGGTCTTCGAGGAAGGAAATTTTGAGGATATAACGGTGGAAGTGCTTCCGAGGATGGATGTGGCGGGACTAAAACTTCCGGCGCTACGGACTCGGGTGCCGTTTGCGAGTTGCCTAAGGAACTCGGCGGCAACGCTTGCTTCTCATCTTCGGCGCCGGGCAAGAACGTCTGGGACTATATAAACGAAAATAAAATCAATTTGAAAAATTAAGCAAGGGATAACCGACTCGATAATATCCTCTATACATTTTTTTAATAATCGTTAAATTTAATAAATAATTTACAGTTCAAAGAAAATGCGCTTAATGAAGAAATCTTTATTATTAGCTTTATTATTTTTTAATTGTTTCTCGTGTAAAAAGCTTTTGCAAAATATATCTTTTTTTACTATATAAGTATAGCTCAAGCTTTCTTATACATCGTAAGAGAAAAATAGACTAAATAAGCAATGAATAATTTATATGAAAAGAAAATAAATAAATTGTAAATGATATCAAGTATTTCTTATAATGATTGTTGATATAATCGAAACTAAGACGTTTTACCTGAAGAAGTTGCTGCTGAGCTCTGAGCTGCTGTTGCAGAAGTAAGAGCTTTTGAATACTCTCCTGTGTCTTTTGCAGCTGAATCAGCTGTTCCTGGTATTGCTGCTGAAGAGCGGGCGGTAACGCGAGTGATTGAATCGGATTCGATAGATGCGTGTCGCTGGCTGGTAAAAGGCCGCTTCCTGCATTGCTCTGTGGCAGTTGAGCGGTCCTCGGATTAGCCAGGGGGATCCATTCGCTATTGGAGACTTGTCGTGACCATCGTTCGGCCGCACTTCCGTCGAATACGCCTAACAATGTTAGGACGACGAACACCGCGGTCGGTGCGAAACACCTCCGCACAATCTAAAATCAACGTCATCGATTAATTGATCGTGGACGCCAGATAATTAACTTCGTCGACGGCACATATGCTATATTGACAGCGTAAAATTGCTTTGATTGACTTTTCACGATGGATTTAGGTCAACATCGACACTTCTACATTTGTGTATGTGTGTAGCGTAATTCATATTTTAAAAATAAATCATTTGTTATGGCTGGTATAAATGCAATTTCGAAATGCAGGCTGAATCGTAAATTACGTTATCGGCATACAGTATGTAGAATTATAAATTAAATTGAATTCTGTCGCAAATTGCATTTGAATATTTGAATATTAGCTTGTTTAAAACGGGCTTAATAACCAAAAATACTAAATATTATTCTGCTTGGACGATAACAAAAAAGTCAGTAAAAGTAAAAAAGTCAATAAAAATAAAAGAATATTGTATTATTTTATACATTAAAGAATAGAATATTAATACATTAGAGAGCAACGGAGAGAAAGACAAAATGCGGTAACGGCTTGTGCAGAAAATAACAAGAAACTAACCGCAATCTCACCGCGTCTATAATGATGCGAATAAGTAAGTAAAATATTTATCATAAGCCAATGAAATGGCAGCGACTCGGTTTTATCGCTTTTAATGGAATCTGCGGTTTTATAATATAACAAAGCTGCGATGAAGAAGTAATACTATTAATTATTTCCGATATTATTGTCCACATTCATCAAGTATTTCGTAAACTTATAACGATTAAAAATCTTTTAATAAATTATTTCCTTATTGTGGGAAATAATTCTGTTTTTTTTTACGGTTAGATCATCAATGATAAGAATATCGAAATACCATTATGTCTAGTAATATTAGTCCAGGCGCCAGAGACAAAAACATAGGTTCATAATGCATAATTCTACGCAAATGATTTTCCTTTTGGGAATTGTTTAGGGGTGCCCCCTGAGCGTAAATGCAAGTTGGCGCGGCGTGGGGGGGGGGGTTATGCTTTAGCCACCATCCTGGAAATTAGTTTTCGCCAAATATCTCACAAACGGTTAATTCTACGACAAAAATAGTTATAATCATTTTTGTAGAAAACAAAATTTCCCACCTTTTTTATTTTAAACTTTTTTTTGTAGGGTGGATACCATTTTTACAAAACTTTGACGCGCTGTAGCTCGAAAAATATCCATCCTACAGAAAAAAGTTCCAAATAAAAGAAATGGTGAATTTTGTTCTCTACAAAAATGGTTATGACTATTTTTGTCGTAGGATCAATCATTTATAAGATATTTGGCGAAAACTAATTTCCAAGATGGCGGCTAAAGCATAACCCCCCCTTGCATTTACGCTCAGGGGGCACCCCTGAACAATTTCCAAAAAGAAAATCATTTGCGTAGAATTTTGCAGCCAAAAACTCTCTGGCGCCTGGACTATATGCATAGTTATCCATTATTGAATAATTTGTGCTAATGTCGATGAAGTTTTTATTTAATTTTTTCTTCTAATGTAAAAAAATTAAAATGTCATAAAATAATATAAAATTTTATTATAAAATATAATACAAATTAAATTATATTGAAAAAATCTATAATTATTATCATGATTACCTCTTCTTTAACTAGAAAATTATATAAATTTAATTAAAATAATACATATACATATATGTATATGTGACGTAAATATTTCATATATGCATATCACAATAGGCGAGCATAATTAAAAATATCGAAATATTGTTATATAACTAAATAATATATATATTATTATACACATATATCATATGTATATTATACATTTGTATATTATTATATACATTTATGTATATTATACATTTGTATATTTATACATATTTATATATATAAAAAATAGATAAAATATTTTTATTTTCCTAGAATACATGTACGAAAATTCCACATTGCAATTTTGATTTCTCAAAATTCGCGATTAACTTGATTCACGTACGATCGTTCATCTTCATTGGAGATGCAAGTGACGCATATTGTTATATCGAAACAATATGCAGCGGTTTACAATTGTTCCGATATCTGTTTTCGATACAATTTTCCATTTCACTTCTACTTAATTTATCGCACGCGACTTTGCACGCTACAGTTGCATTAATGTTCTTTTTCGTTATATTTTTGTCAGAAAAATCGTTAGATGAAGAAATAAATCAATGACAAGCATATGCCGTAATATACATATGATAGCTCCATCACGATATCCAATTTTTAATCGATTTGCGAATAAATAATATAAAATTAAATTGCGATTAAAATAATAGCGCTGTGAGCACACGAGTCATTAGATACATTTGCGTGTCTTTCGAATTATAAAGACAACTTTCACTAAAGTTGTCATCTATATTTATATCTTCACGCGATCTGTATGTAGGCATGCCTATATATTAAGGAAAGTTGTTAATTTCATGTAAATTAGTTGTAGATTTTATATAATTTATTAGATATAGATAATTGGAGTTTTTATTCACGCAAAAATAAATAAATTTAAAGATTTCTATTCAAATAAATAAATTTAAAGATTTCTATTGGAAAAGACGACAAGGATTAATTTGCTTCAATCATATGTATGACCTTAATTAGAATATACGATATTATAATTGTATATTTTCAATATCTAGTTTCTAATATTGTATATGTTATATTTTTTAGGAAATATCTGCGGGCGGTATCGGGTGACATGGTGTTCCAGTGAATGTAGTCGGCCTTCTAGTTATGAACACGGAAAATGTACGCATACAGTCTGCTGTCTTGAACTTATTTTACATCTTCGAGCATATCAATAAGGCTGTCACGACATGTAAGTAGATATGTGAAAAAAGATTCGAACAGCTTTCTGTTACATGATTTGAAGTTTTGCAATGTTATAACCAGTATGCCATTAATGTGATTATTCGGGTAACAATGGCCGAATTATTCTATTAATATTTCTATCTCGATTGCCGCGAGTTATTATTATCGTTATCGTTACAATTATCAATATTCAAAGCTGGTATCGTTATCGTACATTGCCTGTGAATCGTGAAACTTCTGGAGTATGACGAAGCTAACGAACTGTGAATCGTATCAAATAGCATACGATTTCTAATAAATGGTTTGAAGATTCTTTACCGGATCTTACGAGATCATAAGTTACGAAGCGAAGCTTTTACGAAAATTAATGGATTATACGAGCAGTTATGTAGAAAGCAAAAACGCATAACGAAAAAATTTATCAATTAGATTCATAACATACTAAATCTATCTATATTAAGATTAAGATGTTTTTTATTGTATAAACATGATTTAAAAGTATTTTAAAAATACTGTAGAAATACGGTAAAAAATGAATACTTACATATACTTGCTATCGTATAATCGAAGAACTTATTTGCAAACCGCATTTTAGATTAAAAAAATGTGTTTAAAAAAGAAATGGCCTTAGAAATAATCGTGTAATAATTCAGTAGTGTTAGCTATAATGTATGAAATTATCCAATGAATTACGAAACTTATATTTGATACATCTATATGCGCGGATCGATTTTACTTTAATACGTATTTGAATTTTCAATATGACGTACAGTCATCGACAATCTCGAAAAAATGTTTCGAGTAGCTAGAGCATTTTATCGATACTATCTCATTTCGATATTATCGGTGCAATGTCTGTATAATGATATCATCGAGAACGATGATATCATCCGTGGGGTGAATGTAAGCGATGTGAACAATTCGCGAGTTTTCTGAATGATAGCAATTTTCGAACGAGCGTCGACTCTGCGTGCCACTGACATGATTTTGATTACGATCCGCGATGCATACACGAGGCGCAATGCAATTTTCATTACGGAAGTTGCGTGTCGGATACAGCGCGCGATTTTTCTGCTTTCTTCGCGATTCTTTCCAGGCGCATTCCGACCGGTCGTTTTAGAAACGAATCCATCGAGTGTAAAATAATGATGCTATTCGCGCAGACAGTTCTCGTCGAAAAGAAAAGAAATCGATCCCGTCTCTGGAACGTTCGTTCGCGCATTCTGCGCGTAGCAACGAAATTCCGACAGAGAATTATACATATACTTCGATCGTGTTTGACGGAAGCAACGAGAAATTTCAAGAATGCGTAGCAATTATCAATATAAATATGTTGAGAACAGTCGTTGCAGTTTGTCGACCAATGCATGCTGACATCATAGGTAAGTACACCCTCCAAGTTTTATTAATACAATATTCTATTTTTAATATTAAAAAGTCCACGAATATATTCTTGATCATTTGATATTTATTCGACTGTAAAATAGACAATTGTTGAAAAATGCATATCTGGAAAAAGTGCTACCTCGAGAAATTTCTCGAGAGGCATTTTTCCAACTATACGGTTGAAAGTATGTCGTGATGATAGTAGCATCATATCGCAATTCCGTTTTCAATCCTAGTCGATATCCCACGCGCTCCCAGCCCCGGGTGCGACTGAAATGATCTGATCACTGTGTGGCCGTCGAAAGAAATGACTTTCTCTCGACGGTGGAGCGCGTAAAGCATGAGGCGATATTCCCCGATCTCGTTTGAACTTCGCTTGTAACATCGTCCAGCCAATTCCGCCGGTAATGTGTGCAATTATCAATCGCTGCATGCCGGATCCGGGGACGGCGTTAAAAAGGAGGTCAAACACCTTTCTCTCAACGCGCGAGGAGAAGCTAGCTCGTATCTTCGGAAAAAGGCGCGGTCTCGATATCGTCACTTTGGTCCAACATAATCGTTACTTTTAACAGTTGAAAGAACTTCGCGATAAGGTTAAAGATTACTACATTGCTAGAGAGCCACAAGAGCTTTCACACTTTGTTGCATTTTTAAATGTTTATTTTTAAAAAATTCCTTAAAAATATGTAACAAAGATTGACTGTTAAAAAGTAATTAATGTTGCATCGAAGGATTAAATAATCCATTGATACGAAAAGTCCAATTAATATTGTCACTTGGGAAATTTAATATATTAATTTAAAAACTAAAAAATATGTATTTTAATGTGAATTTCAGTGGTATATCTGAAAAGGCGATAGAGAATAAAAGGATATATTGTACCAATTTTTAATTTTATACTCTCTGAAAGTAATTATAATAAAAATTGATCGACTTTTTTTTATTCGCGTAAATAATATTGATGAAAAAGAGATTAGAAAGACCGACATTCTTTTTATTCGTATCCGGGTGTGTTTCTTTCTTTAAGCATTATCTAAGTCCTGGAAGCCTCGAAAGCGACATATAGTAACTCGAACGCGAGAGTGCGTAATCGAATCGAATGTACCGTAAAAATGCCATATTCGCGGCCTTCGGAATTTCACGCTCTACTTGTACGTTTACACTATTCTCTACTTGGTCGCAAACTTTCGTTTCTTGGGTTTCGAGAGGGTGCCCGCCGCGTCTAAAAGAAATATACTAGCGAACGATGTAAGTTTCGATCGTGTGTTTCTTCCAGATAATCTTTACACGCGAACTCAGAAATAGCACTATACTTCGCCATTGTATCTCACAATCGTGACCTACCGTAAAATATCTCGTTGTAGAAATTATGCACGAGCGCGTCACGCTCTATGCTTGATTACTGCACAAAGAAAATTTTTTCAATCTATAATTTTTAACTTTGAGCGTAAAATTATTCATAAAATGCAAATATGTAGTACAGTTTGATAAATACATATTTTTATAAATTGATTTCTAAAACAAAATAAAATTTTTTTGTGAAAATTTAATTTGTAGTAGTCTCTCATATTCCTTATATTACCCAGACAGCACAAAACGTCCTCAGGATCATCCTAAATATGTCCAGGATGGTTCAGGATATTTGTAGGATGTTTTAAGATATTATTATAAATATATTTTATGAAAATTTAATATGCATACATGATTACTTTCGGTTATGTAGGCTATTTAATATAATTTAGAAATTTTAAGTATTGTAATAATAAGTATTAATGTCCTATAAATGTCCCCTGGATAACCCCTGGATGTCTGCCCTGTCTATTATATTGAATGTCCTTTGGATTTCCAGAGGACATATACATGTGCAATTAATTGTTAAAATTAATTTCGTTTAATATTAATAATTGAATTTGATGCGCACATTTTCACATATTCAAAATTATTATTTATTTAATAATTTATGAGAAATGTTACTATGCGCAACATTCCAAAAACTTTACAAAAAATAGTATTCAACCGCTAGTTAGTTTGTTTACCGCTATGCGAAGCGCAAACTCGTATTTGAGATTTGGTCATGAGAATTATATAAAGCTTGCAAAGAGCAACTAACAGGAAATTAAAAATATAATTATTTTTTATCAGTTCAATTTCTGATGCAATCCAAACATAAGGAAGTCAGATATTGGATTGTTTTGAAAATATTACACGACTCAAACCCGGAAGCCAAACCTAAAATATTCATGTACAGCACGAAAACCTCAAATATTAAAGAACGTGAACTATTTTTAGTATTAGATTTTTAGTATTGGCAGTAAATAACAGAACGCAATCTTAATTTATATTTAAATTTTAGAATTTGTTCCTTTTAACGTATGAAAAATATCCCTAACATATCCTATAGAAATCCTTAAGATGTTCCACAGGATCTCCCTGGATTCTCCAGAGGCTAGTGTACGGCTATCATTTACTCTTCCTCAGGACATCCAGAGGAGATCCGAGGATTAAAATGGGATATCCTCAGGATATCCTACATGTATGTCCTGGATGCCCTTTGGACGTCCTAAGGACATCCTTGTGCTGTCTGGGTAAATAATTTATTGCAAGCACACACTTATTAAAGCGTGGGCGAAAAAATTAAATTCTTACCTAGAAAAAATAAAAAAATTTATACAAACTTATTAAATTATTTAAGAATATTATATCTATTACTGACATTTCTCTCTCTCTTTCTCTTTCTCTCTAAAAATATGCTATACCTCTCAAATCATGACATTGTTCAATCTCATTATAATTTCTACAGGCTATTGTTCTTTCTGCATATAATCAACTACAGCGAATTTATCTGATGAAGACTCACAGATGCAATATGCAAAGGCAACAAATAAGGCGATTGTTTTCTTTGAGAAAACCGATACCTGGACATCCGGGTATATATGGATTCATTTTCTCTATGGTTGAACAATCACGTATTCTGATGTTTTGCAGACATTTATATCTCTAAGAAATACGGATTTATCGTTTTATTTGACGCGAATAAATATAAATGTAATATTTTTCTCAGGTAGAGATCGATCTACTCGATCAGTTCCTATCATCGGGAGATCATTGACAGGTTTCACATGCTCGATCCGATCGGATGGTCAACGCCTCGTCGGCGTGCCACTTATTGTCGCCGACTTTCTTCGCGGCATATACTCTACCTTTACTTTCGCCTTCAAACTTTTTCGGCTCCCACTCGAGCGCGTTGCACCGAGACTCATTCGCAACGGTTGTTGTCTGACTATCGCGGAAGATCGCTTACTCGGTGCGACTTCCTACCATAAAAAGAAATTAAATAACATCCTGCCGGAAATGAAGGGAATGTACGAGTTACGCCCAACGGAAGAACAACGTCGCACAATGTGAGATTTGCTCGGTCTAAAAGAAGACAAAGATCTTTTACCTGATTGTATAAAAATATTCTATATTTTCTTTTATTTGAACAAATCTGAAATTCAGAATTAATTCGAATATTAATTAGTCCGAAGAGATTGCGTCGTCGTTCTCAAGACGTATCGCTTAGATAATGACATAGCGAGATCGTTGAGCAGGATGCGATCGTGAGATTCGCATGGAGGATGATTGCGGAATTAATCGCACGTGAATCGCGATTGCGTGAGTATCGTTCGCACGCCGTGGTGCGAGCTTTTACAATCTACGATGATGATTGATACGGCATATGGAAGAAGCTATAGGGAAGTATTATGACGTAACAAACTTTAACTTCGGCAAATGAGTTTTCTTTGTATCTCTGCAACGTCTGTTTGCAGAAGAATTGAGATAATATGTTGGTTGTCTAAAGGATGTACATTTGAGAAATTTTACCTCTGTGCACACATGCTAAATGATTATATTTAAAATTTATTGTAAAAATAATAAATATTTCTTATATCTCTCTCTTTCCGGGAAGAATTTTTCTTTTTTTGCGAGACCAAATAAAATTTACTCAGTTGAGTGTCAGCAGCGTGACGCGCAACTTGATCGCGGCAAATCGCGGTAATTAGAGTACTAGAGATCGCAAATTTTTTCTAATTTTATTTCGCTCGCGAGAGCAGCACGCGATAGAGATATTAATAAGCCGGAGGCGGGGATTCCTTTTCTTCGCCTGGTTACGTGCCACTTAACTTAGACTTTTGTCAGCAAAGACTTCCGCCTACGCCTGACCTTTCGGTGTAGGAGGATCTGTTCTCTATCCAACATTATACCCGTTTTGTGAAACTTTTCAAATACTTTTGCAACTTTACTAGCTTTACTAAACATTAGTAATACTTTGTCTTATTGTTAGAGCATTTTTTTCTATATGTTTCATTAACTGTTTAGAAAACCTTAACATTATTAAGACATCTTAGAATTATAATTATATTAATTATTATCCTGACATTATTTAAAACATGAAATTAAATTTCTCGGATTGATATAAAAGATATTTATCTGCAGAATACATTGAACATTATTATATATTAGTGAAACAAAATAATCACATTTTATTCTGAAACTATTAGGCTAAAAATCATTTTACATACATTCGCTTTAAATACGACAACAAACTTTCTCAAGATCGAATGTATTTAATTAATTAATGACCAATATATGCATTTATATTATCATTAATTAAACGTACAAACGAGGATATCCTACATGTATGTCCTGGATGCCCTTTGGACGTCCTAAGGACATCCTTGTGCTGTCTGGGTAGCAAATTAAATGATGTCATGCACACATAATGGATTTGATGCAAAACATGAAATGAATCTAATTTAAGTAGACACAGCCATTTGACTTAATTGCGTATAAATATAGGCGTAATGTTTAATTCCATGCTAATTTAAAAAATACAAATGATAAATTTTATGACTATTATTTAATTATTGGATGCAGAGAGAATATGTCTCTATACGATCAAATACTTTTGTCCGCCTGGGTTCGACAAATCTTATACTGCATGATAAGTGCAAGT